GACGCGTTACCGCGTCACAATGTCCCACGAGGTGCGCAAAGTGGGACGCGTTACCGCGTCACGCTGTCGTCAACGTGTTAAACCACAAGTGACGGCGGTCTCCAGTAAATCTGGTTAGTAGTGGTTCATAGTGATAGCTGATTTTTGGTAAATGATAGTTGTAATTAGTGACAACTGATAGAATACAACTGCAACAGGCTAATCATTTCATTGGCAGAAAACATTTACATTTTGTGGAGGCCGTCGTCACTTGTGGTGTGTGGTCTGCACTCGACGAGCATCTGGTTTTGGAAGCAGAGTTGAAGAACACAATGGAGTGCCTCTCCCCTTCCCCCGCTCAGCTAGATTTTCACCTTTGAGACATTAAGATTTTCAATTTTGACGTTAATTTTCCCAGGCTACAAAGCATATACAGAGGAGAGGGGAGGAGGGCAAAGAAAAGAGTCACTCTCCTCCACATTCAAAACGGAATTATTACGCGTCGCCAAACCAAACCGAAATGAGCCCAACTGAATATTGAAGAGCACATTCTAATCTATCAAAAACTACATAACAGCCTTCTACACCGACGACATCAGAAGATTTTCCCACGGAAACATGGTTCACGGTACGAGCTCAACGAGGTCGTCGAGGTACCATAGACCATTACGACGTCTCTGAAACGCTGGTCAAAAGCGGTCTTGCATAGTCACAGCTAGTGTCTCTAAGAAGCTATTCACCAGTTATCCGATTGAAGAAATTATGTAGCAGCTTCAGGCTGGAGCGATTACGGTAGGCCTCGTTGAGCTCGACGGTGATGGCAGATGACGTCATATTCTGAAGACGGTGAGGGCAGTGAAGGAGGGCCTGGGTAGACATCTGGAATATTTTGCCGTGAAACTTTCATCACCAGCGACACCCTGTGTGACGAAAAGTTTGGTGATACGCATCGTAGGCAAAGTGACTCTTTGTTTTTGCCCCCCCCCCCTCCATCCCTGTATTTTCTATGAAAACTGAGCTCAGAAGAAAGAGCATCCACGTCGTAGGCGGGGTCTGATCTTCAGAATCGTTGAAAAAACTGTGCGCCGCATTTATCAACTGCGCCATCTATGTAGTCCCTAGATAGTTGTGCAAGTCGATTCTAAATGAAATAATGAGTCGCACGTCATTTGTCAAAAAAAGCTTTGCAAATCGAAAAATTGAAATTGAATAAGACAGAATAGTTTCCCTAATTCGGGAGAATGCCTGTTTTGAGGAGATTTTCGAGAACTAGGTTATTTTGAAATATTCCCACATTCCTATGCATTTCCGAGTCCCTTCAGCCGTGGTGCTTTGCACCGGCAAGGCAAAACTTATGGCACAAAAATGCTGAGTTTTGGGCAAAACCCTTTGTCATAGGAGAGAGTCGAACTCGCACCTCTCACTTTCCGTGCATTTGTGCTAATGACTACACCACCGAGGCAACGAGAAAATCTGCGCGTCATCCAGTAAGGGGGGGGGGGTCATGTGGTGCGACAGTTCATATTGCATGAAGTAATCCACTTTTTTCAGGGGAGGGAAGCTCCGGGGTGGGTGTAAAAGCTTAAGCGAAATGGTTCACGCACCCCGGGGATTCCCTCCCCTTGCAAAAATTGGAATTTCTGTAGCCGGCAAGAACTGTCACATCACATGCCCCCCTTACTGGATGAGACCCGAAAAGCTTATTCTTCTTCCGAGACCGATAAGGCAGTGGTACAAGTTTGGCTCGTTCCAGGTTCTGTTCAGAATCTTAGCTTTCTTCAGTTCATATCCAACTTTGCGAAGATTGTAAAGTCCAGCTGTTACTCAAATCAGTGTTTTTCTTTTCCGCTGGGCTGAAGTCAATACCTCAATCGAACGGCGCAAAGGAATAAATGATTGGTTGCCTCGTACGGGATTTGATCCTCAGACCACACACCTACAACTTGCGAGTGTTGCCACTGCTTCTTCCCCTGCTTTATAATTTGCTTTGCCGGAAAAACATACGACGACGTAAGTTTGGATTGAAGCGTTTGAGTACGAGGGACATTGACAATGTTGGTGGCGTTCCCCAACGTCTTCTGAATCATCAAAGCAGTTGACATCCTTCAACACACAACAGCTCAAACGACATCTGTGTGGGCATCTGACAAGGGCCGGATGGGGGACGGGGGCAATTTCATTGTGCGTCGTGCGTCTAATCTCTCCGCACAGCACCACACCGCATCCCTAGGGACATGGAACTGCTCATGTAAAGCGCCACTTAGAGAGGCACCACACAGACATTATTAAACTGAGCTCAACTGCTGAGTATTTCATTGCTATGGAAAGCTTCGAGCACTTGAAAAATGGCCACAATTTTGAAGACCTCAAAAAACTCAAAAGGCATTTATTGCAAACCCGATGATATCTTATCACTGTGAGGGTGCGTGAATCAAATATAAAGCATGTAACGGTCAACGTAATATTAAAAAACTGAGAAAAATGGGCCTACACTGATATGGGCTTGGAACAGAGACTAAACAACTACTTCGGTTCCTCACCCTTTGAATAAAGCTAGAAAAGTTCGAAAAATAGCACTGAGTTCTGGAAATATTACACTTTCAATATTGTCAGGCTAGTGGTTAAGGAGTTTCAGGTAGGCAATAAACAAAATAGCTCGATTCAGTTTGATTTCGTTGGCGAAGCAGGAGCTATCGCAAAATACGGGGGTAATGGCAGTGCATTTAGGACCTCGTAGAACGTGTCTGCTTTCTGTTAGAAGCGGGACTAAGCCTTAGAAGAAGAAGGAGGAACTCCGGGATGCGTGAGCAATCTCCATTCCCCCTGAGTTTGAACCACCTCCTACGCCCCTTATCTTGCGATAGGGCCCGGTTAAATATGATAATTCAATTGCAAGGAAATATTTCTGATATGACGACTCCATCGGAAACATTATACCTCGTGATATTTCACAAGAATCTGAGCAACGAATTATGTAACAGCATCCCCATAACCATAACCAATTAGCGTACATTCCGGCTTTCCAGGTTTCGAGCGCTAACTGATTGCATTAGAATGTGTGGTGTGTTCACGAGTCATTAGAAATTCCCAAGGCGATTAGGTCTTATTTAGTCCATAGTGTGACGCGGAAGTATTATAATATAGTACGTGGAAGTAGCACTCTTACTAAATTACTCAGGCTAGGATGTATTTAATCAGATCACTACAATTGTTTTAGATGCAGCCGAGAGAAGCTGCCGATTTTTCTGAATCCTCACGAAATCTGCCGGAATATGCTTGCACCGAGGCTGTATGCAGCACTCACCGGTGGGGTGGGGAGGAGAGCATTGAATTTCGCTTGTTTCCGATGGTGCTGAAACTTGAGCAATGTGAGGTTGAATAGATCGTTGCCGCCAGTATTGGTTTCAATGTGATCTAAGAGGGGGAAGGGAAAAAGGCAATACTTTTTGGCTCCGCGCGCAGCACACTTTCCGGCACACAGAGTTCCACCGTTGATGGAAGTCTTACGGTAAACTATTCCTGAAGTTTGTTGTTATTTTTCTTTGAAGCTCCTCACGAGGTTGGCAAATAACTTTTATTTGGCTTACGTTTCGGCGAGGATCGCCTTCTTCAGAGCCTGAAAGAGTCGAAACAATTTATGACTACCCGATCAAATGTCTCAGCAACCCTACTGAAGTTCGAGACCAAAACAACTCATCACGCAATCCAAAGGTGGGCCACCTACCGTAATACAGTCCAGTTGTCGAGACCACCAGAACAGCAGTGAGGCGATCGGACTGTTTGTGATTCAAAGTCACAGGTGGAAGGCCAACCTTATATAGGGCCTCAATTCCCGCGTTATTGTTAGGCATTCTTCCCTCCGGTTTATTTGTGGACTAGTGGCGCGCGGAATAGGAGCTGATTCCTGAGTGTCGCTCTTCGAGCGAACTTATTTGTTCATTTTGCTCTTGCGATTACGGAACATGTGAATTTTCGCGTGCTCGAGTCAGGTGTGTGTGGACGCGTAATGGCCTCCAGCCGTGTTTTTTATAATGTTCATTATCTATTTCCAGGAAGTCGTCTGAATGTTTTTCAAAGTTCGCACCATGTTTTGTGAGATCCTTGTTACAAAATTATTAAGCAAGTTATCATGAAAGTTCTTTGCAGCGACAGCTCCGTAATTTTTAATCTGCGTTTTTTGCCCTCTTCCTACCTCCTGTCTTGAGGATAATTGTGGATGAGAAAGCGGTTCGCTGTCATAAGAACAGTGTAATCTTCAGGTGGACTTCTGAAGGCTGAAGGAGGCGATAATGTCGAAGCGTCAACCAAATAAGCCATTAGTGCGAATTTTAGCTATAACGCCATACGCACTGAATATTACGTTTGTGGAAAATACTTTTTTCGTCGAGGGCCTAACTTGTAAGGTACTGGTTCGAGTTTTCGTCACAAACCAAGGAACCACTTAGTAAGCCATCTGGCCTGAGGCTAATTGTTACCAGATGTATGTAAGACAGCACGAAAGTAGTAACGTGATTGCTGGCCCTGCTGGCCCTCATGTAGTGAAATCTAGCTCAAAGTGTCTTTAATTTTACCTTGAAATGAAAAGAATTGTGAAATGGTAGCAAAATACGGCGCTATCGCGATATACGGGGCTCCTCTAAGACTAAGCTGAGGTGAGCGAACCAGCCCTTTTGGCGTTTCTGCTGGCTCGTATTGCTGCTGCGGAGCGCGGGCGAGTCGGACTACTTGAAGCTTGCCGGTACGGTAGGAGAGCTGATGACAAAGTTGGATGGCAGCTAGGTCAGCAATCGCCAAAGGGGCGTGTGGTTGAGCTTACCACGACAGACAAGACTCGGGAGATGAGGACGGGCTTTGTCTCTTTGCAGATCGTATTTCCGTTTTAAAGCTTAGTCCTGAGGTAAGCATTAAATTGAGGCGGTTTTAAGGACCGAGTTGAAGGAGTCGTCGGCCGTCGAGGACCCCATCCACCTCCTCAACATTCAGGCATACGGCACCCAGCAGAATCGCCAAAAGGACTGGGGTTTGCTTACTTTCAAGACTAAGCCTAGGAGGGGTCAACAATACTAGGGAAGTGAAAGTGGCTCATGCACCCTGGAATTTTTTCTCCCCGCCCTCGGGTTTAGCACCGTTTTTAAGAAAAAGAAAACGTTTAGCGCGGTTTTCAGTGCATCGGTACCCAATGGCCCCGTATTTTGCCAATAGCGCCCAGAAACTCCGTCGTAGTAAATCACAAAAACCCATATTTATGAAAGTGATTTAGTTGATTCATCAACATATTGAACCACGCACCTGCATAGAGACCCCGCCATGAATAACAGTTTCCAATATTTGGTTGCGCACCATGATTTTACTGCCAAGGTGATGACAGGATTTTATCAGACACAGATTTTTTTAAATTTATTAAATAATTATATAAAATATGATTAAAATAAGTGATTAAAAGATTTATTGTGCCCTATAAAATATGAATTACTCATTGTAATGTCACTTCAAATTCGTGATTCAAAATTTTGCCCATAATGTTGTGGGCATTCTCTAAGCAATACCCTCCTGTTCAGGACGGATCCGATAGGCCTCTTAAATTTCCATTTATCCTCATTGATGTCCGTCGAGAGGCTCTTTTCACCTCGCAATATTCCGAGGCAATGAAGGAAAAGGGGGAGAGGGTGATGAAAGTCGAATTAATTAATTCGTGGATAGGCGTGGCATCGTGGAGAGGAGAGCGAGAATTCTCTGGGGACGGCGCGACCGCCCCAATCAACAGAATTCCCTGGGGACCATGGCGCCGGCGGGGGGACCTCCACGGATACTGCCTCACACACTCGAACGAACACGCCTGCACGCACACAACAGGCCACGTTCATTCGGTCGACGACGACAGTCCTCATCTACGAGACGATCTTCTGTGTGATCACATCGACGATGTCACGGCGGAAGCAGCTGAAGCCGCAACCAGTCAAAGGTGGGTTCGCCCGTAAGCTCTTGATGTGGCTTCTGGCTCCTTAAAATTGGATAACGAACTGAAAATTCCTTCAGAAGACGGATCGCAGTCCTGCATGGCCAACGGCGACGAGAGCAACTCCAAGAAGAAGTGAGTCGTTTGATTCTTCCTGTAGAGAACTTTTAGAGACATCATCGTCCTTTCCAGACGAATGCTCTACGATAGCGCTCAGGTGAAGCCTGAGCCATGTGATGATGAAACGGATTCGATCAATAATTCAATCAATAACGAGCTGAAACTCGACTGCCAATTCTGTGGTGCTTCGTTCGAATCGATATCGGACCTGCAGACACATACCCTCCGAGATCATCTGCCAATGGTGAGTGGCGCGATCATGCTGGTTCGATCCCCATCGCGAACGGGGTACACTGGGAGTGTAATTGCCCGGAAAAACCATTCCACCCTCCCTAATCACCTAATTGAGTGACGTGTAAGGGCCACCCCGTTAGGCAAAATTTTCTGCGCTATTCGTCTGTCTAGAAGAATTCTCGAGAGCCGATTTCGGCTAAAGTACCACGGCTAAAGTTGTCCCTTGGGAAATCTCAGCATTCAACCGGCAGCTGCCGAGCCCAGACATTGAACCTACATCGATTGTGGGGAATTTCATTGTTGTTGTTGTTGACGACGGGGAAAACCTGCACGGGGGATTCTCCTCCAATAAACGAAATTTCCCGAAGTTTCCTTCAATTTCAGCCCGTGCCATCGTTGGAATGTCAGCACTGTTTTGCCGCGTTGCCATCGTTTGCCGCATTTGTGATTCATATGAGAGGACATCTGAACGATCGAGAAGAGACCAGCAGATGTCCGCGATGTCCGCTCTCCTTTAACGACACCCAGGTGGGCGGAGCTTCGTTTTTATTGCTGTTTTAGAATGGATATGCGCTACTTAATTGCTGCCATGAAAAAAAAAGCGGATCAAGGTGAAAGATTTTTTCTTTAAACAATTGTGAGTCAATTCGATGCCACGGTTGCTTCACGTTCACCTTTGTTAATGACCATTACTTGGTTATTACTGCTACTAAAATGCAAGAAAAAAGCAGGCGCCGTTGATCGATCCTTTTTTCGTGATGCGCCATGCATCTACTTCCATTCTAAATCGCCAATGTTATTGGAAGGCGATTTGGACCTCACCTTGGATCCATTAAATTGCTAATTGTACGGGCATGGACCCGGCAGGAGAAGAGTTGAACCAATCGGTTGTTGAATTTTTATAATTTACTTTCCATATTACCCATGAATTACTTTCTTCCCTGTTTTTCATATTTAGACTCTTTGTCAATTTGCGGCTTTCGTTCATCCCATGGGAACAACCAACCACCCGCTCACGAAATGGAGGCAAAATTCGTCTAGGCAGGGAGTGATCTGGGATGGGTTCGCTGGCTAGGATTGTAAAGGGGAAGTGGACTTGATACATACTGCCGCTACTCGTCGCGAATTCTCTCCAAGCTATTTGCACGAGTTAAATATGAAAAAGAAAACAGGAGGAGAAAGTAATTTATGGGTAATATGGAAGGTAAATCATAAAAAATTCACTAACAGATTGCTTTTAAATCTTCTGCCGAGTACATGCCCTTAGGCTTTTTGTGGGCACAATTGGAAGGGCAAAAGGTGCTCAAACACTAACAAATGAGGGATTTTTCGCGCTCTTAGCCAATCGACAAAAATTCAGAGGAGCTAATTTTTTTATACGGGTTCTATTTGTCTGTGTTATTTCGAGGTTAGGCCCTTGAAGGGAGGATATTTATTTATCCACATATTTCTTTATTCATTTATTCATCAGTCGTCCACATGAAAGTTCATGGCGCAACTAAAGACTTGCATCATAACATCGCTTGGCTTAGCTATAGCCATCTAGCAGCAGGGTGAATATCGGTCGAGGATTCCTCAACGGCACGTCGAGGATTTTCGCCTGATCAGTTACGCTCTCCCGCGCGGACATTCACACTCGCCATGCGCGAGCCGTCTGTGCTCTCCGCGCGTTCACTCTCGGCACTACTCTCGCACAGTACAGAGCCATGGTCGAGGAATTCCTCGACCGTTATTCACCCCATCTGAGAGAGTTCCGTCGAAAACTCAAAGACTCCATCAGTTACAAATCAAGCCTATTTGAATGCAATATTTGATCGGACGCTCTCTTACATTTAGCCCTGTGTTTTACCTGAAAAAAAACCTATTTTTATTTGAAAAAAAAACTACTTACGAACAATTTTCAAAAAACAAATGGAGGTAATCCCTCAATGTTTTACACTTTTCGTGTGCTTCCTTCTCTATATCACCTCTTGTTAGTCGTATTGCACTCACAGCAACAATCTTCCTCATTAGGTAATTGCTGACGTATCCACTCGATTTCAGTAATGGCAGGGCAAATCGCTATCGATCACTTGGAATATTTGAAAGTGGAGAAATGAAGAACTTTTGGTTGATCACATTTCAAGTGGGACAGCACCTAGACACTTAAAGGGACACCCCATGATCAAGTCGATGTGATAATTGATATATTGATATTTGATTCAAGTTATCTGATATTGATAACTTGAATCTGAATTGAAGGGGATTCCACAGTAGGACGAAGGTCGAGGAATGGAAACGTATCTAGTGGGAAGATAGGCGACCACCGAAGGGTGCGTACAGACGCGCAATTCGCAAGGCCCAACTTGGTGCGCTAACGGCTCGGTACGCCTCCCTCTCGCATCTTCCGTCTGCGTCTCTGGCTGTTCTGCAGAGATAGCGTTAGCTTTGAAGAGGGCAGCAGCGATGAGAGTTGGCATGAAACAACGGGCAAGGAAGGGTCCCATTTCTTGAGTTCTAGGCCATTTTCCTCGGTTTTTCTTCTTTCGTGCATCACTGACCATCTCTAACTTAATTTCCAATGAGGCTGTCTTTTCGTCGTAAGATCCGCTTTTGAAACACGAAGCGGTTCACCTGTTGGGAAAAGGAGGGAAAGCAGTCAAAGACTGAGAGTACGAGCCTTTATGTTCTGCGCTGTGAAGGGGTCCTTTATTAAGAAGCAGACAGCGAGGGGAGAGATTACGGGCGACGAGGAAAAAGACTCTGATACAAGAGAGCACAGTATGTAAAAATGAAACTAAACGCCAGGCGTGCCTTTTATCAATTTACTGAGTCATCAGTTTTCTGAAGGTGCACTCTCAAGTGTGCTGAGGCTTAGAATTCTTTCGTGGATATGGTTGATGGTTTGCTACTGTAGAAATGACCCTCTTCCACGACGTTAAAACGCATGGTAGTGTTGGCGTAGATTGGATTGCCATGCGTGATTCTTCGCCAGCGTTGGAGTATCTACTGCTGGCTACGCGCTGAACTTTCTAGTTTCTAACTCTGTTCTCTCGGCTTGGCTCCAAAAAACTCTCAAATGGCTGGTGTGTCAGTCTCATTGATCGCTAGAAAATTTGATGAAAAATTAATCCTATTTTTTTATTAGTTGCGACTGTTTCTCCACATTTTTCTTCGTGAAAAACCACTTCACACCTATCGTCCCTTTTTCAAGTGT